TGCATTAGAAGCATAAAATACAGGCACATCACGCCTGAACTAACGCTCAAGACCGCTCAAGAGGATGACGACAAACCAGCCACCACGCAGCAATCATGATTCTGCCGAGAAGTTATCCTTGCTAGGAATCCGGCGTTTCGAAATGATTCCCCTCTGCAGTGCGAATAGAGGTGGCGACGGATACAGGACAGGATATAACTGTTGCTTCGAGTGCTACGAGTGGGCCAGGGTGCCGAACAAGTTAAGGATGACGGTGGACACCGGTGTAAGGGAGGATTGCATTGTCGAGCACGCATTTCCGCACGTCTGCTGCGCGTGCAACACCGGAAGAGAACGCTATGGTGTCAATAACGAACTCCATCAACGAGGAGTAATAACGATCCAATCGTGTCAAGCCCGAAAGATCGAGTTTCTTTGGCTCATCGAAGCTTCTTGGGGTAAAGTCGAAAATGTGTCGTGATCATCACCGAACGTGCTCACTTCGCTCAAGTCACGTACGCGCTGCTTTGATACGACAATAACAAAAAAACACGACTTGGTATTAATACGTTGTGGTGATCGAGGGATCAAGCGCTTCTACTTCGAGGCAATTGCTCCAAGGTGTTGGAGTCCAACTATCTACGATTCGAGCCTAGCACGCTCTCGCTTCTCGGCATATTTCGGCGTACGCCAAAGCAGGGCTGTCATTTGAGGTCACACAGATGTGGTGCTTAGTGGCATTGAGGGGCACCGTTAGGTCCACCGCCTCAACCTGACTCGGCTTAACTATGCCCGAAGTTGAAGTCGGGTCTCTTTTATATCGACTAATTCTGACTCCGAAACGGCTTGGCGCGGAAAATGACTGGCCGAGACGAAGCCAGATGTGCAGGCTTCGAAAAGCCCGACGAGGACACGCCGAATGAAGCAAATGAAGCACGTGGACACCGGTCAAGTGCGCATGGAGGGCATCCACACTCACTATGTCTACCTGCACGTAAATAAGCAGCTCGCTTATTGCAATCGGTTGTGCCAAGCACACCGCAGCCGTTTCGATTTCCAATACAAATTTCAAGTCATTGAAATTCGGCGGGAAAAGATCTAAAATAGGAAAAAACCTCGGAGAAGAATTTTGAAAAACCTCTTGAAATTACTATTTCGTTGGGGGTGCGGCTCTTGGAAGGCGAAGTCAACCACTTTCGTCCATACTAAAAGAGACTCGGCGGAAGAAACGAACCGCGTGTACCCGCGCTACGGTCTCCTTTATACTAGCTGGTCAACCGCCCTGTCGAGATGCTGACGGAGAGCCCGCCACTGGACAGTGGGGAGCGCCGTGCCGAAGCCCGCCACCGCCGCCGCGAGGCCGCTGCTCCGTACTCGAAGCGCACAAAGGCGGAGGAAGACGAAGACGACGTTGAGTTTTTCGCTCGCGAGACAGGCCACAGCCGACGCGGCAGTGGCTTCTTCGCCCGCTTGGCTAGTTATATCCCTATTGTGAACAAGCTAGTGACTGAAGAAGACGAGGAAGAAGAGGCCGAGTTACAGCCAGCCGTCGACACGTCCGTCGACAGTATTGACATTCAGACGACTCAGGAAGACGTAGACGAGGAAGAGGAGGCTCAGGAAGAGGCTGAGAAGGAACAAGAGACCCAGAAAGAGACTGATAAGGATCAAGAAACCCCAGAAGAGACTGAGAAAGAGACACAACAGACACCCGAGCCTCAGCCGGAGAAGCAGAAGGAGCCAACGCCACAGGACGAGGAAATGCCTGAACCCACCTCGTCCCCCGTGACACGTGCGGCCCCATCCTTCGTCACTCCTAAGGAACAACTCTCCACGCCTCCCAGACACAATAACAAGCGTGGATCCCGTAAATCTCGCTCGCCTTCCCGTGACAGCAGCGTCGACAGCGGAGACTGCAGTCCAGCCATGATGCGTTCACAAAGGAAGCGCGGAGACAAGCGCGTGTTCCTTCCTGGCCCTTCACAGCAGTCAAAGATGTTACGCATCTCCAGTTCCCAGCGCAGGCGTAAATCCACGTCCCCTTCGCCCCACGACTCAGCGTTGGCTGTGATTAAACAGAAGAAAACCATTACAATGGAGGAGTTTGAGCGACTGCAGAAGCAGCTGCACGACATGGTGGAGACGACGCCTCATACTCAACTGGCGATGACTCAAGCAGCTCTGGCCAATGGACTGGAACGTCCGTTCACGCGCGGCTTTCCTGGGCCCACGTCGTTCCCTGGATACGTTCCAGGCTCCATTGCCAACCAGAACCACGGAGCGTTGATCGTACATGACGAGAGGAAACGTGGCTCTGAGTTAGCGAAGAACGGCGTTCCTTTCGGTAAACGCCCTAGAAACCACGAGAACGGACCCATTCTCTTCTCAGGCTCCACTCTACGCGGACAGTTGACGCGTGAGGAGCGTCTGATGAGGAAGCCTCGTCCGTCGCGTCTTTTGACTGGCGCTAAGCGCGATGCTGCCACGCGTAATGCTTACTCTGCGGCAGTTGCGGAGAAGATCTTGTCGACGCTGAATAAGGTGCAGACTCCGTTGGAACGGGAGGCGCAGAAGCCCACGCCGTCGACGTCCATGTCCTGGGCTAAGTACCATCTTTCGATAGCGGACGATGAGAAAAAGAGTCTTGAGAATGGCATGGAGATTGACAGCGATGACGTTGCACCCCCGACGAGTACAGTACCCCGCGTGACGTTCCCTCAGCCTACACAGAAGCCTGCCACGTTGTCTTTTGGTGCTCCGAAGGCTTTGGAGACGCCGGCGAAGAGCGTGACTAGCTCATCGACGCTGTTCTCGCCTCAGACGGTGTCAATGACCCCAGCACTTGCTCGTGCACCGGACCAGCAGAAGTTTGAGAAGTTTGGTGAGTTCAAGTTTACTCTCCCGCTTCGTATTGATGGAGTTAACCAGGTGGATGTGGACGATGAGGATACTCGTGTAAAGTTTGTGTTTTCTCCACCACCAAGTATGCGTGAGCCTCCAGTGAAGGCGTCGAGTCAGAAGACTGCAACGAAGAGTAATGGTGCAGCTCCGTTTGATTTCATGCCTTCGTCGCCCAAGACGACGACGACTGAGTGGGTGTCGAAGCCACCTAAGGCGAAAGAACCTGAGAAGCCGATGGCTACACAGAAGCCTGCTGCGCGCAAGGAAACTGAGAAGCCCAGTACGACGGACGTTGCACCGGCAGCTTCGACTAATGGCGCTGTGAATCCCCTTGCGAGGTTCATGCAGCTGAAGCCGGGACAATGGAAATGCCCTGGATGCAGTGTTCTGAATGAGGCTACGAGTGCCAAGTGTCCGTGTTGTGAGACGGCGAACCCTGCAGGCGCGTCTGCACCTAAGGCTGCTGCTCCTGCGGCGCCTAAGCCTTCGGGAACGATTTCATCTAGCGGCTTTAGTTTTGGTGCGCCCGCTGCGGACGCCAAGAAAGATGATAAGCCGGCTGCTGGATCAATTACGGCGGGTGGATTCAGCTTTGGTGCTCCATCTGCAGACTCGAAGAAGGAAACGGAAAAGCCGGCTGGATCAATTTCGTCAAGTGGATTCAGCTTCGGTGTTCCGGCGGGTGCCGCCAACAAGGAGACTGAAAAACTTGCCTCGGGAATCACATCTGGCGGATTCAACTTTACTGCCCCAACTCCAGCTCCTGCCTCGGACAAGCCAGCCTTTAGTTTCGGTGTCACCGCTGAGTCGGACTCGACGGCTGATGATTCTGTTAGTACTGCTCCGATTTCGTTTGGATTTTCGCCTCCCAAGAAGACTGGAGATGCTTCGAAGACTCCTGCCGTAACTGAGAAGGCTGCTGCTCCATCCTTCTCTTTTAGCTCTGGTCCATCCACTTCGGCCCCTGCTTCTGCCTCGACAGCTACAACCGGTGGATTCACGTTTGGCGCTACCAGTACCACCACCGATAGCTCCAACAAGGGAAAGCGCAAAGCTTCTGAGGCGGAAGAGACCAAGAAGGATTCTACTCCGTCGTTCAGCTTCGGAGCAACCACGACAGCTACCACTGAAGCACCGAAGGCGAGTGTGCCCGCCTTCAGCTTCGGAGCTGCTCCTGAGTCAAAGCAGCCAAGTCCGAAGGAATCAGAGCGTCCTAAGAAGCGTGTGGCTCCGTCTTCTGTCGCCGCCGACCCGAAGCCTGAGGTAGCCAATCCGGCTTTCTCTTTCGGTGCGGCATCAAAACCACCCCAGGTTCCTGCCAAGGGTAATACTGGTGTGACTTCATCTACACCGTCGTTCTCTTTCGGATCGAACAGCTCGACAACTACTGACAAACCGAAGGAGACTTCTGCTCCATCTTTCAGCTTTGGTGCGACTCCTTCCACTGAGAAGGCTGCAGAGGCGAAGCCGAAGGAAATGACACCTCCGAAGACTGGTTTTACGTTTGGATCATCGTCGACTACGTCAACCCCGGCGCCAAAGCCTAGCACAGGCTTCGGCCAGACAGCTACAGAGCCCAAGGCCCCTACTTTCTCTTTTGGTGCATCGGTCAGTTCAGCGCCTGCTACTTCGACACCCGCTACATCTGCGCCTGGTGCTTCTACTGGCTTCACGTTTGGCCAAAGCTCGACGACTCCTGCCGCTAGCAGTGCCCCTGCATTCGGTGCTGCTCCTGCTACGTCTTCTGCACCTACGTTCGGCTTTGGCTCGTCGACAGCTCACTCCACTGGTACTTCGACTCCCCCCGTGCCATCGGGTCCTGCTTCGACGCCTGCGTTTACGTTCGGTTCGTCCTCTTCTGCCCAACCAGCATCGTCCGGCTTTGGCTCTTCGGGGTCTACCACATTCGGCCAGCCGCCTGCAACCACTTCGGGCTTTGGCTCCACGTCGACGGCTTTCGGATCAAGCTCCTCTGGTTTTGGATCTGGCTCGAGCACTGGCTTCGGTAGCTCGTCTAGTGCTGCCCCCTCAACTGCATTTGGCAGCTCTACATCGACGGCGCCAGCTGCACCTGCTTTCGCTTTTGGTGCGTCCAGCCAGGCCCCGACTACCAGTGCTCCTGTCGGCCAGCCCGCGTTTTCTTTCGGCTCGAGCGCTCCTGCCCCCAGTGGCTTTGGAGCGGCACCTGCAGCTTCTAGCGGCTTTGGCTCCAGCGCATCGAGTGGATTCGGCGCTGCTGCTGCACCAAGTGGCTTCGGATCTTCCAGCTCTGCACCTGCCTTCGGTAACCAGGCAACCCCCGCGTTTGGTAGCAGTCTTCCTCCCCCGACGACCACGTTTGGCGCTCCAGCATTCGGCGCTCCTGCAGCTAATAGCTTCGGCAGTGGCCCTCCAAGTTCTGGGTTCCGTACGCCTAGCCCAACACCTGCCTTCGGTGCCGCTCCGGGCGCTCCTGCCTTTGGTGCTGCCCCTGCTCCGGCGTTCGGTGCTCCCGCTGCTCCCGCTTTTGGAGCCGCTCCTACTGCTGGAGCTTTCGGCGCGCCTCCTGCTGAAGGCGGGTTCAATATGGGAGCCGCTCCTCAGCATGCAAAGGGTCGACGCATCCTGAAGGCCAAGCCTCGCACTCGGCGAACGTCATAGAAGTAAGAATGAATCAATTTATCTTCAATGTCTTATAATTTACTGTGGGGATGGCAACTTTACCGATTGAGGGGACCTGCTTCTGGCCAAGACTCTGATGAGCTAGACTACTTATGAAATACCCTACATGCACTTGTGAGGAGGTTGAGCTTTACCGATTGAGGGGACCTGCTTCTGGCCAAGACTCTGATGAGCTAGACTACTTATGAAATATCCTACATGCACTTGTGAGGAGGTTGAGCTTGTCATTATTTTAACTGCTTTTGTTGCTGCGGAAGAGCTTGAAAAGAGGTTCATAGCCTAATTATGGCGATGGAGGCACGATAAAAAAAGCGTCGTGGTGGTTTATCCAAGAAATTGTGAAGAAGCGGCAGTATTTATTGTGATCGGGCATCAGCAACATGGCGGACATGGCGGACATGACGGGAGCACCCACTGGGGCTGTGAGTATTGGTAACTATAAGGGCGTCATGCTCTGCAATCGGCCATTCAACGGAGTTTCAAGCAGTAAGTGGCGAGTATCATTCAGTGAAGGTTTTAGTGTCTGATCTTGTGAAAACTTTGAGCAGCATTAGCGAAGGAGAATCGATATGGTGCGAAGCCAAACAACAACAACGTGGTCGATAACAGCAAGGCAGCGTTTCTTGCAGGGAACCCCGGGGAGCCTTTGGGACTAAACGTGCCGATTCACAGCGAACCTGCGGTTTGTTGGCGTGCACATGTGTAGTGCGCAAAGATGGTCTCTAATGTTTTGCCTCTTTAATCCATAGCACGCTATCCGGCGAGACAAGAAGAACACAGCTTTATCAAAGCACAAGAAGTGGCTACACGACTTACAGAAGGAACGCGCTCGACTGCAAGAAGCGCTAGCGGAGGACGAAGAAGCTGCTCAAAGGCGTCGAGAACGATTCTCTCAGAGAGAAGCCAAGATGCGTGAAACAGTGCGCAATAACAACAATGACGAAGATGTTCCTAACACTGAAGCTGAAGAAAAGAAAAAGAACTTGAACCGACCCATGTGGGCACTTACAAAAGCAACTGCAGACGAGAAGCTTGATTGCTTGGAGGACGCGGAAGCTAATGATCTCATTGAGTTTGCAAACAATCTAGACATTGATCAGTTCATGGACGACGTGGAGATTAAGGCACGCGTCGCACAAGTCGAGCAGCAGCTAGCACAAGTGCAGTCTATTGTAGACTATGAACAGGCTGAAGAAAAGCGTAGTGAACGTGAACAGCAGCGGCTTGAAGAATTGGCCAACGGTGGCGGTGCTCTCAACGGGAACGATCTGTCTCAACTCGGTTGGGACCGTGCAGATGCCAAGGACGGCGACGACGATGCCATGAGCGTGGCAAGTAGCGTGCTCTCTGAATGCAAGTCGATTCGGTCAGTGCACTCGGTTCGATCAGTAGCAGCGATCACGAAACGTGTTGAGGCCAAGCTTGGAGCCTCCACTCCATCCGAGGCAGGCAGCACTCCCCCTGCACCACGCATTGTGACAATCAACGAAGATGAAGGCGTTCGGATGCAGATCAAGACTCTACCGAGCAATTTACCGTATATCCATCGGAACCCTGCCATTTAGTGGCCACACAGCAGTAGAACAGGACGAAAGTATGACAACCGTTCAAACTGTGTCTAGACTCTTCAAAGCGTCGCTTCATTTCATTCTTGTCAGGTTCTTGGTACTCATTAAACATGGGCCGACGTAGCGTGGCTTCACAGGTGGAAGAAGCCAAGAAACATGGCATGCTTCACCTCATTCAGTACCAGCTCACACGAGTACCGTCTGAACTCTTCTCGAATACATCTGGGTCGTCCTCATCTAGTTCATCCGGAGAATTTACTACCACATTGGTGCGACTCGATCTCAGTTTCAATCAGCTGGAGGGACCACACGCCATTCCTGACGCGATCGGATCACTAGTTGCACTGCGTGAGTTTTACGTGAACAACAACCCGCGTCTGAAGCGACTACCAAGTTCGCTCGTCAACTGCACTAAGTTGCAAGATCTTGACGCCAGTTCCTCAGCACTCGAGACACTTCCACAAGAACTTGGTCGTCTGCAACATCTTCGCGTCATCAACATCGACGACACACCTTTGCAGCGTCGCTGGGTGTCTAAGGGCCATCTCTTGAAGAAAAACGAGGACGATGAGCCTCTGATCTTCTCCCTTTCTAGCTACACCGATCAACAAACAACTTCAACATCATGTCAGCAAATACTGCGCAAATTGCGACGGAAGGACGAGCGTGAGCAACTCAAACGCGAGTTGTTCGACCTTCTTCACGACAAAACATACCGCCTCAAGCGTCTTGATGACAGTGCTACAGCGAGCGCAGTACTCTACACCACGTTACGCCGTGTACTCAAGCTGTTCCCACAAGCCGTTGATGTCCGCTCCTTGCTTCGCAACACCGAGCGTCTATTCCCACAGGAGTTCTCAATAAAAAAAATCGAGAATCTGGATGCCACACGTATACGCCGCGAGTTCGACGTACTGCGAACTGCCACTGAACGTAAGAGGCGCGCTGCTGACCTCGAGCTCAAGATCCGCAACTTGTACTTTGATCGGATCGACCCCACGACGGTCGAAGGAATGGTGCGCCAGATCTACGACCACCTGACCGAACTGTCCGACATCAAATTTCTCATCAAATACGCGCCTAGATTATTCCCCAAGGAGGCACGCAGCGTCAACGGCGAACAGATTAAACGGGATCTTGTAGCCTTGCAGCAACAATTCGCCCAAGAGCGTGCTGCTGCAGTCGACAAACTCCTGGCCGCCGTCAAAACTCTTTACAGCGACACCGAACCAGACAACGTACGCACTCTCGTCGATAGCGTCGCTGCTCTCTTCAAGGTACGGAAATTACGTAATCCATTTCATTGCCATTTGCTCACATTTCCAATACTTTAGAATACCAAAGAGCTGCTCAGTCTCGCCGCTGATGCTTCAGCGCATTTTCCAGCGGATTTTCTGAACGCACAGCCAGCTGAAGTTCGTTCCAGTTTCTTGCGCATGAAAGCCGAGGTCATGGGAGGTAGCGGTGCCTCGAACGTTGCTGGCACTACTGGTCTCGTGCGCTAGCAGTCGACGTTGGCATTATGAAACACCACATAGGACCGCACACCAGCGGTTTGCTGTACCTTACACTGGCTTGCCGTTCAATCAGAGGACTCGTCTTCTTCTTTCTCTTCCTCCTCCATTCCTTCATCAACTTCATTCTCGTCGCTTTCTTCACTGCTTCCAACTCCGTCTTCATCATCTTTGTCTTCTTCGATGTGTACCTGGGCGTTTGTGAAAAACGATCCACGCCGCTTACCATTGCTAGACTGCGTTACCTGTAGATGTGCAGTCAAGCTCTCCTCTATCTGATGCAGCTTAAAAGCGCGTACTTCCGTGCCACTGATATTGATGTGAGCTTGTGCTTGGGCACAATCCTCTGCGGTCGGGAACATCAACAAAACGCTCCAGTCCTTCAGCCTGTCAGATGAATGTGCCTCCCGACTGTCTTTCCGACCACTGCGGCAACCAGGCACTGGGGTTACAGAGCGCACGGACACTTGCAACACACGATCATCTCGTGGATCCATCGTACAGTATGTGCGGTGGATAGGTGCAAATACCTTTACAATCCCTTCCCCTTCGCCGTCATTTGAACTGCTGTCATCGTTTTGGTCGGGGATCTTTTCTACGAGAACAAAAGCCTCCGGATTCATCACCATCAACAGTCTTGTGGGCATTAACAAGAAGCGTTGCTCGCGATACATACACCTCAGAGATACCATGCCGTCCAGTGGCGCTGTACAGGAGCCTTTACCACCTGCAGCACTCGCTAGAATGCTCGTGCGGGGATGACGGTAAGCAACAAGCTGCTCCAATCCGTCGCTTGCGTATGTCTCATCCAAGAGTCCGCGTAATTTTCGCAATAAAAGGAAGACTCGCATAGATTTCCGACAGACTTCCATCTCATTCGAAGGACGACGCAGTGCCAACGTGTCTCGCGAACCAGCCCACGCTGGAGCGTTTGCAGACTCTTCCTTCGTGAGAGGAACAAGGCACTCAAACGGCGACGATGAATCCAGCTGCAACTCCATAGGGAAGGGCATACGCTGGAAGTTCGCTACCTCTTTCTCCAGTACGTAAATGAACAAATCCACTTCAGCCATAGCGCCGCGCATACTCTCCATGACAAGATGAGCACTGCTCGAGTGGACATTCTTGAGTGTAGCAGCGTGAGGCTGAGTGAGACAGCGGTGCGATGGTGTACGTGTGTCAGCCATGATATCCACCAGCAAACGTATACATAGCTGCACACTAAACAAGCGCGAGCTTTGATTTCGCGCAAGAACCTCCAGAATCAGCTCGACTAGCCAGTAAGGGTATGTACCTGTCCGGCACGAACTGTTCTTTAGTCCATCTTCACTTGCCGCCTCTTCGGTAGCAGAATTCATATCAGCATCTTCGTCCATTCCTTGTGAGCTAGAAGAATCGCATGAAGACGATAGAGATGCAGTAGCTGGCAGTGCAGATTTCATAGTCTTATCTTCATTCTCTTCTTGCTGCGTCTCATCGTGTCCATTGCTACGGGAAGCAGACTTTCCGGTACGATATCTAAAGGGTAGTAGATCCAGCTCCCGTAATAAAGAATGGTCCACAGCCCTATTGTTGATGATAGCTAGTAGAAGTATAACCACTGTCGACGAGAGCCGCTCATCGCTCGAACACAACAGTGATAGCAACGACTGACGGTAACAGTTCGTGCTCTGCGGTACAAACGCCTTCACCTCGTCAACAGGCCACTCGCCCATGGCAAAGCGTGTTTGAACGTAACACAGTGACGACTCACATGTTGTAGCTGAATGGGGACGGAACACATGCATCGGAGGCGCCTCCTTGTCCCATCGCAGATCAGGCTGTGGAGATAGCGGCCGAGATGAGTTCTCCGTTGTAGCAGTACTCTCGTCATCGTTGCTGTCTACTGTTTCCAAGTAATGTGAGCTGCTAAGTCTCCGTTTTGATCCAGCTCCTAGCGCTACTGTCGAGTATTCACTGGTTTCCGTCGCATCCGAACTCAACAACATAAAGGAGATCGCGTTCACAAGAGGTGTGTGCTCCAAAATGCCCAAAAGTCTAGTGAGTAAATACAGCGCCAGCTGCGTCGACACTCGTTGTGGTGGGGGTCCACAGTCAGGCAGTATACTCGTCGCCAATAGCCACTTAATATGTCTCGAAAACAGCAAGTCCCCTATTTTATAGCACAGCTCGGGGACGTTCACATCCAGTAGATCCTGTAAGTAAAAACAGTGGTCAATATAGGCGTCCACTGCCTCCTCCAATTTCTCCGTAGTAGCTATTCGTCCCGCTGCGTCCTCTGCAGACGGCCATGTATTCAGCAATCCCTGCAGCTTGAGTGTCAGGTCGTTGGCGATCTCCACGATATCCCGGAAGTAATTTAAATCATCGTATTGCAGCACGAATCTCCGCACTCTCGCGTCCGGGACTCGGAGAACATTGAGCGTCAGCGTCTTGACCGCCACCTTGACCATCGTCTCATTGCACCGTCCGAACTGCAGCGCGCGTGCGTAGAGCGGGAAGCGGAAGTCTTCCCCTGCTGGCTGCGTGTCTAAAAAGAACTGCACTGTTTCCTCGTTGAGCCGCAGCGACAAGGCCTTGAGCAGGGTCACGTACCAGTCTCGCACGTCGTCGTCTCGATCCACTTCAAACGGGCACTCCAGCAGGCGGTTAACGTGATTATTACTTAAAATATAGTACAGCGACGTGCGTGTCGTGATATTTTGCACTAGGATGCTCATAGTTTGCAGCAGTTGAACCTGTACAGGCATGGAGGGCTGGCTGGCGCCCAGTTCTACCAGTAATGCGAGCATATTGGTCTCTCCAAAGTAGTCAAAGAAGGCACCAGCGTCGTCTGGAGCCTCATCTAAGGCAGCCTGGTCCTCTAGCTCCACAGATACGCGGTGTTGGTCCGAATAGATGAGGAACTCGGACAGGACGCGCAATAGCTCCACGATCTCGGCGTCGGGAAGACCAGCGAAGCGCGTTAGCTGCGTGTGCAGCGACCGCATGTTGCTCAATGTGAAGTCTAGACGGCGGCCGGACAGGAACGAGCCCAGGAAGCCGCCGCGCGCGCCCGTGCCGCTGCTGCTGAGCGGCGCAGAAGTAGACGCGGGGCTGCTGGAGTTATTGCCCATGGCGAAAGAGAAAATAACGCTGAGCGTGAAGAAAAAACGACTTTTTGATATTGTCAAATTTAACGTTGAAATTACATTACCGTATTACCAAAAGTTGATATCGAAGGTGCATACCGTAATTTAGCTCTAAGTCTAACTAATGCAGCACAGGGTACAGATAGTCGTTGTAGAGCGGAGCCCACTTGCAGCCATCCTTTTGGTCAGCGCGCCAGCAGCCGTGCGTAATGTTCTCTAGTTCGTGAATGAAGAGGTCACCGCGTTCATCCAACGTCTTCAGACCAAAGGTATCCGAAGTGTATTCCAAAGTCTCGTTCATGTTGACAATGGTCAGGTTCATGTACTTGGTCTCGATCTCTTCGATCGTGTCCACCTCCGAGTATCGACCGAAAATGGAGCTCTGCCACGGCATGATACGCTCGTCAGCGGGTGAAGCGAAGAAGTGAGCCTCCTCCAACTTCAGGAAGTTGGCCTTGCGACGCTTCTGGTCGTAGATGCACTGGTTGTCACCCGGCAGACAGCGGTTGACATTGTTGTAGACCGGAAGGAAGAAGTTGGCAGTCGAGAAGCTACCGAACTGAGGCCACCGGTTGACGTTGAACTGCGAGTACGTGTACTGGGCATCCGGATTCTCAATCGAGTAGAGCACATAGTCCTTCTGCATCTTGCCGTAGAAGTCTTCCGGGCCATAGGCGCTGTAGTTGAACATAGTTTCAGGCACCAAGGTCTTCAGGAATGGGCCATCGTTCGCGATAGAGTACTCAACCTTGTCTGGTCCGATGAACTGGCCGTTCTGGAGACCAGCCATACTGATGTAGCGCTTGACTTTGTGGTCGTCCATTTCTTCGATGACAGCGCGAGAAATGGTGCCGCCCTGTGAGTGTGCGAGGAAGATGTAGCCATCATTGAATTCCGAGCTGTTGGCAACAATTTCACGGATCTGAGTGATCGCCTTTGGAACTTGCAGGACAATGGCTTGGAGAGAACACGGCATCTCACAGAAAGTAAGAGCCACAACGGTACGGCCTTCGGCGGTGAGGTTCGCCACGAAATTCTGTGCATTCGTGTGGTCGCCGCGGACACCGTGGAAGTAAAACACCGGGAGCTTGGAACAATCCGTCGCGGCCGTCGTTAACGCGAATGCGGTGGAGAGGAGCGTGAGCAGAACACGGCGACAGAACATCTTCGCTGTTCCCGGGAGATCTGAAGACTGGAGAGGTTGTCGGCGAATTTAACTGTGGTGTAGGCAGCACGATCAAAGCTCTGCTGATGCCCACACCCGCGTGGTCCACTCGTTGCAAGGTAGCGGGCCGCTGTCTTGCGCCGACGCCTTTCGAGACCTGAATCGGGTGACTGTCACCCGGCTTGATCATGCACTGCAGGAAAGCAGCGATTTGTCCTTACAATTTGCAAGAGCGGTGAAGTGATGTGTTACAGCAGGATCATCTCCAAACCTCACGCCAACACAATGCCCTGCGTTATGCAGCCTGCATTTGCAGGGGCCTTGCAGCAGAGCCCCTACATACCGTTTGTTGAATTGTGCCGAGAACACTGCAGTTGGAAAGACAGGTTGCACTGCTTTCCAGCTTGTACACTTGCTGCGTGGAAGTGGATCAACAAGAGGGTTCTTATGGTACTTGGCTCAAATTTGAATTCAAAATCCAATTTTGACAGAAATGTTGATACAGTAGTAAGAGTTCGACTTTTTGCAACAGACGAGCTTCTTGGAAACTCAAGAGCCTCAACATTGGCTGAATTACAGCGTGCTGGCTGTACGCTTCATCTGCCGGCTTTCCGGTACCTGCGTGAACGCAGAGCCCAAGCCTGTACACGAGGATTTACTGTATCGGTAGTCGAATTTTGAGGATTATGCAGTTGCCATTCAACCAAACTGCGAGAAATAGAAATTCGCAGTATCCAATAGCAAAACCCAAACGTTGTTTGCTGCTGGCGGCACCCCGCAAATTCTACTGAGTGTCTTTTCCTTAAACGAAAGGTCTGTACATCTTTGTTGGCCTGGGTCGCCTCAAATACATGTAGATGTTGCCCTTGAACAATGTACACGTACAAGCACACCATTCTCAATGCAGTCTGTATCTCCATCGACGAACGTCATATGCCAGTCATGTCGGTCTTGTTTTGCTGATGCGTGGCCGGGTATCGTCGGTTGCGTACACATCCAAGCTACGGCTCCCAACGGGAATCGCGCACCACATGACTTCATCACGACGGTAACCAACGCTGTTGGCAACAGACCCGAAAGCTCACCAATACCGAATCTCCCAGCAACCCCTCAAGTCAGCACTCATCGTAATGTTCGGTACCCGTGTCCTGTTCACGCTCCTATCGACTGCTGTCGCGGTGGCAACCGCCGCGACGGATTTTTCCAAGCTCCCCGTGTTCTTCTTCCATGGCGTCCGTGGCAACCACTCCAGTGGTGATAACTACGTGGCCAAGCTTTCCGCTGAGGGTCGTACTGTGGTGCCGTTATCCTTCTGCGAGTCGACGTGCTCTCTGGAGGCCATTGTGCTGCAAGTACCGAAGGCCATCGCTCAAGTCCGTGAAGTTGTTTCCAACAGCTCGGAATTCGATGATGGCTACATCTTCATCGGGCACTCCCAGGGCGGCGCAGTTTCTCGCGCTGTGATCGAAGAAATGGATGACCACAAGGTCAAGCGCTACATTAGCACGGCTGGTCTCCAGAACGGTCAGTTCATCGGACCGGACAAGGTGGAAGTTTCGATTAAAAACGACGCACCGTTCCTTGCTGCGCTGGTCCCTGAGACCATGTTCAACTACAGTGCGTACGGCCCGGAAGACTTCTACGGCAAGATGCAGAAGGACTATGTGCTCTACTCGATTGAGAATCCGGATGCCCAGTACACGTACTCGCAGTTCAACGTCAACCGGTGGCCTCAGTTCGGTAGCTTCTCGACTGCCAACTTCTTCCTTCCGGTCTACAACAATGTCAACCGCT